TTCTTTACTTTTTAACCTTGAACTCGGCGCATAGCTACTATTGCACGCGCAATGTCTATTTATGAAAACTATTAATATTAGTTGGAAAGATATGGATAATATTGTTCTATAATTGACAAAGATTACATAACCTTGAAGAATATGCATATGTATAAATTCATACAGAAGCATAAATGAAATAAAATCACTCAGATACAAGTAAATATCTTAGAGGTATATTCATTTTGAAATTGAATAAATAAATCTTAGATAGTGATTGTTAGAAAGTAAACATTGAGATGGATGATATTGAGTTTAATTAATAGGTAGTCATTTAAGTGTTAACTCAATCATTCTTCGTCTAATACTCTCTCTCTCTCTCTCTTTGGTGTAGATAAAAATTATGTTGAGGTCAGGAGAAATTAGCTCGCATGCGTGGGAATTGGCTAATTTTAAGATCACTTTACGAATCTAACAATAAGATATTAATACTTCTTAATTAAGTATAGAGTCAATAAGATACTAATTTTCGAATCTAACAATAAGATATTAATACTTCTTAATTAAGTATAGAGTCAATAAGATACTAATTTTTTTAATTAAGTCATCTTCTAATACTTCTTAATTAAGTATAGAGTCAATAAGATACTAATTTTTTTAATTAAGTCATCTTCCTCTACTCTAAGAAAACCATAAGAATGGCCTTTGCGAACTTCTTAAACACCATGAAGCGCCAGCTTCGTAGCGTATTGATGAATATTGATACTTTCTTATTGCTAAGAAATTAGAGGTAATTTTGAAGGTGATGGCAGTCTTGGTGGCTCCATTTGGAGCTTGACAACAGATATAATTGCACATGACATAACAACACAATGTATGTCTATCATCAGATATAATTACATACTGAATTATTGCTAGAAGAGCATGGATAACGGTCTCGTGTTCACAGTATCATCTTCAAAAGTAGCATAGTCAATCATCAGTAGAAGTACATGGAACTATATTTGGTCACTTAATCACCCATTATAGGTGATATCATCGAGATTTGAATGTTTGGAGAAATATTAACTCTTACATCTTGCAAATAGGTTTTGGTATGAACTTAGTTGTAGTGGTGAATTCTTTTAAAGATTTTTTTATTTTAATTTTTAATTTTTTCCCTATTAATTATCAAGTTAAGAGAATAACATGTAGTTGATTAACTACAATTTGTTGATATGGTCATGTGAGTATAAATTTGTGACATATACAAGTAATTAGGAGAAATTAGCTCTTGTTGATAGTTTTTTTTCCCTCGCATCAATTTATAATTATAAACTTTTAAATTTTTTTAATTTGTCGATTCATTAACACACCCATATGTTGATTAACATGGTTGTTCTCTCAGAGAAAATCTTTAAAATAATAAGTGAGTACCTACTATTTCACTTTGACATCTCAAAGTTTACCAATTTTTAACTTTGAAACCCCAAAGTACTTTTTTTCAATATTTTGATATCCCATTGTTTTAATCGTATTTTAGTTTCATAACCCCAAAGTACTTTTTAACACTATGATACCCCAAGGTTTCTATCTCATTTAACTTTGATACCTACATCTAGATCTATTAGATTTTTTTGTTAATTTTCTATTGCTGTTTTAGCAACTGGGCAAACTGAATCTAAATGTATCAGATGCTAAAGGCACCATACAAATTAAACAAAAGATCTAACACAACTTGGATATGGTATCAGAATGAAATATGATTGGAACTTTGGATATTAAAATGTTACATGAATACTTTGGGTATCGAAGTAAAATTGGATTCAAAGTTTGGGGTATCAAAGTGTTAAGAAATCCTTCAGCCTATTGAAGTAGAAAGATGTAAACTTTAGGATATCAAAGTGAAAATTATCATTTTCGTTTTAGCTCATCCTCTTATAATATTGCAAGTTTAAGGATTATTCCGTATTTAACAAGCAATTTTTCCTCTTTGCAAATGTATCCTCTAGCAATATTGTTTTCAAGGTTGATCTTTGAACTAGCATGTTTTTGTTTTTTCTTTCTTTGTATAGGTTGTGTAGCTTGAATGAGAAGCCCACTCTCATCTTAGGGATGTAATGTTAGTTCATTGTGTATGTAGCTAACATTGAATAAATCTAAACCATATTTGTGTGTAGTTGCTTAATTTGTGTGTAGTTGCATAATTGTTTTTTAGGTAAATGTTAGTTCATTGCGAGATTTTTGTTGTTTGATTTGTTTCTTTTTTTTTTGTAGTTGTTGCATTTTTGGTGAATTTTCCCATTTATGTTTGTTTTCTGTGAAGATTGTGGTGAAGGCGATGCTGATAATAGACTCTTGTATAAGCATGATGCTTGTACTATTATTGTAGAGTTAATCTCTACTCTATGTGAAGTATAAGTGCGTGCTTCATAAAAATATTAATATTAATGTATGCAGCATTAGTTGACCTTCAGAGGTTTCCCCCCATAGAGTTCCTAACATGCATCACGTGCAACGCACGTTTTGCATACTAGTTAATATAAAACTGTAAACTTAGATCATCATTGTAACTTTGAAGTTTTTGTCTAATAGTTAAGAGGGGCTTAACTTTAGAAGAAAGTATGTATTCATCATTCAAGTAAAAGTGTAAAACAAAATAATAAATGATCTTTATTACACATTTATATCGTCTGGTCTCCATTTTCTTGAGGCGCCGTATGCTTTTGACAAAAAGCAAATCTTTTCACTGAATGACAGAACAGCCTTCTCTGCATAGATCGTGCACCAACCCGCCTTTGTTTCGCACGAGCGTTTGAATGGGGTAATTTTAGCACTCAATTTGCATTCTAACTGTGATAACTAGTGGGTTCTATTTTACATGTATACTCCTCATAGCTTTCATATTTACAAAATTACCCCTCATATTTTGGTAATTGCAAAATTACCCCTAATCGTCTCACAATGATTTTTTTTACCCCATTCATTTAACCATTTTTGTTTTTAAATGGGGACTATGTTGCAGACCTATTGAAAATTAATGGAAGTTTGCAATTCCCTTGTTTTAAAAGCCAACATTGTTAAGTTGGAGGGGTAGAAATGCCCAATGTGCAGGTTTTGGAGGATAATTTTGCAAATACAAAGATACGGAGGGGTAAATATGCAAAAATCCCTAAAGTAATATATAAAACATACCTTCACATAAATCGAAAATATAAGAAAAAGGGTTTTTTTTAGATGTATAAAGGTATTTTTAAATTTGCCCTTCACATTGTCATAGTTTTAAATTCTAACCCTCAAATTGCTATGATCCCGCCGCGGTTATACCCCCGCCGTCTCTCGTTGCTGTTAATTTCTTATGATTAAATTACATTTACACCCCTATTTAACAATGTTTTAAAATAGAAAATCAGAAGAAAAAAAAAAAACTCAGCTCGTCCTCTTTGTTTTCTCTGTGGTTTTCATCATCGGTTAATACCAATCCCACGATGGGGGGAGTTGGTCGGTCTTCATCTCTGCACACTCACTACCTACTATTCTTCCTCGTCCTCAAATCATCCGCTGATTAATCCATGCATGCAATTAATTATAATGTTAGCATTATAGCAAACTCCTTTTCTTGATTATTCACTGGGAACAAATATCTCATGAATGGATGACATGAAGCGATCCGTTAATCCTAAAGGAGTCCAACACATGCTCGCACTGGCAAAGGAGTATTCATATGTATGCTTATGCGTTGCTGGAGATAGAAAGCGATTGGAGGGATAATAATTGGATTGGGTTTGAGAGAAATAGAACAGGGCTAAGAGATTAGATTAATTACAATTAAGTTGTTGAAGGGCATATCGGACATTTTAGAAAGTCTACACATAATATTCCATGTAGGTTCTTAATTTATAATTTAAGTAGGAGGGTAAAATTAGAAAAGGGAAATAATTTGGACGGCAAATATGAAATTATCGATATTTTGGAGGGCAAATTTGCAAATACAAGCAACTTGAGGGGGGTGTATACATACATATATACATATATGAGCTAGGCTACTATTAATAGCATCCAACATGCAGATACCATCAGCCCAATTTTAAAAATCGGAATCCAAAAATAAAAATTCGAACCGGTAGATGTGATCTACTACACACGAACTAGTTAGAAACAATATTTCAATGGATTTCATTATCATTAACCCGTGCGAAACATGTCGTCAAAATTAACGTTTCAGAACTTTCATGAAGTTGGTTAACTTACCTTTTTATATCCCTACATATTAATACTAGGAAATTTACATGATTAATACAAATTAAAATAATGATGATAAAGAAGTAGTAGATACAAAACTTTTCGACACAAATGCGACCATAAAGGCTATAAAAGGTTTATTTCATACTAGTTTGTGTGTGTATATATAGAGAGTGCTACTATAGGGACTCCAAAATAGGGGAGCCTGCATGGGACATATGAGGTGTCGCTTCCCTGTTTCGTGTTGCACTGTTTATGAACAGTGCATCACAGGACAATGAGACGACACCTCGTCTCACCTGTCCCACTCAAGCTAGTTCCCATATTTTGGGTTCCTGATGTATTCTTCATATATATAACATAACAAACGTTGGTTAATAAAATCCACGACCACGGTGTATGCTGACTGTACGTCAAGAGATCACATCAATTTCATGACTCACTTCCAATTAAGTATTTCTTTTTCTGTTTTATTAAACTTTTTAAGTTTTAAGCAATTCCTGCACGCCTCTTTCAAATTACATATTCTGATGCATACGCTCCATCATTTCACCAAAAAAATTCATGTATATATAATATATAGCCCTCCCCCTTTTTCGGCCATAGATCTCTCTCTCTCTCTCTCTCTCTCTCTCTCTCTCTCTCTCTCTCTCTCTCTCATATTCTGATGCATACGCTCCATCATTTCACCAAAAAAATTCATGTATATATAATATATAGCCCTCCCCCTTTTTCGGCCATAGATCTCTCTCTCTCTCTCTCTCTCTCTCTCTCTCTCTCTCTCTCTCTCTCTCATTCTCATGGGAAACTCATTGCCATGCTTGTCTCATGCAGCCAAAACATCCAAGACCAAAGCCAGTGGCAAGAAGAAGCCCAAGATTCGACGCAACAAGGCGAAGATCATGTACGATCAAATCATCTCAAATCTTATTCCCGACGAGAAACATGAAGATCAGGAGAAAATCAAGGGAGTGATCAGAGTGAAGATGGTGCTAACAAAGAAGGAAGCAGAACTCTTACTCTCCACGCTCAGCAATAATGATGACATTATTTACTGGACCAAATCACTCGGTAGAATCGAGAAGGAATCAAGAAGATCGAATATTCATGGATCATGGAGGCCCGAGCTCGAGAGCATCCCTGAGATTTAGAGAGAGTTCCCTTTTTTTTTCTTTTTTGGAAAGATTACAACGCACATGTAAAGAGTTCAGACTTCTAGAGTCCTCTGTTCTTGAATGGATACGTCTAGTTTCTTTCTTTCCATATTTAGCATGAAAAAAGTTTTTTTTAACCCTCCAAATCTTGAGAAGGGTGGGAGGAGAGCTTGAGGCCATGGAAGGAGGAGGAGGAGAGGAGGTTGCGGTCGCTGGGTTTGGAGAGGAAGGAGGAGGTAACCATGGAGGGTATTATGGTCTTCACGAATTTAAATTTCTTGAGTTTTGCGTTTTGGAGGCTCAGAGTACACAAAGTTTACTTTTGGAGGCAAAACACCCGTTGAAAATGTTGGCGGTATGCTTGTCCAGCAGATAAGAGGTCAGCGGACAAAAGGATTCCACATGCCGCGTGAAGAGATCGAATCCAGCGGACAAAAGAATTCCACATGCGAAGACGTGTTTGAGCCCTATAAATGCCTTTCCTAGGTTTTCGTGTGGTAGTGTGCAAAGGAGCAGCGGGCAAAGGCTTTGGATAAAAATCGCAGGGGGTGCAAACAGAGGGGAAAAATCAAGAGCCTTTTACGGCTGCAGAGTGCAGGAGAAAAGCAAGTGCCAGGGGTTAATTTGTTGCGGCTGTCTCTTGGATTCGTGCAGGCTTGGAAGAGTAAAAGCAGAAGAAAACAGTGGGTTTTCAAGTGGCTTTTTAGTTTTTAGGATCCCTCGACGCGCAGTCCTAGAGCTGACGAGAGGAAGAGCAAATATCCCACTTTGATGGGATATTAGGCTTTCAGATTCTTGTTCCCTTTGAGAAACAAGAATTCTTATCGATCTTTCTCTCTTATTGTGCACCAGAAACTCTGCCGAAATTTCCGCTGCGCACAACAAGTGGTATCAGAGCCCAGATTCCAGATCTAGGGTTTGGTTGGAGGAGTAGATCAATTTGGAGGCCCGTTTAGGACTTCGTTGGTGATAAAGGTGGGATCTTTTGGTAAAGACTCTATCTTTCAGTTTTGGATCTATTCTTTGTTCGTTGGTGCGTAAGATGTCGGGGAAAGAAGGTGCTTCGGGAGTCGAGGGTGGTTCTTCTGGCGTGAAGACTATTCAGAGTTTGAATATCCACTCTATGAAGATAGATGTGGAGAAATTTAATGGCACAAACAACTTTGGATTATGGAGATGCGAGGTTTTGGATGCGCTGAACGCGCAGAATTTGGAGGATACATTGGAGTTAGATGGCAAGCCAGATGAGATTGAAGAGAAGGTTTGGAAGAAGATGAATCGAACGGCGTGTGGTGTGATTAGGTCTTGTTTGACTCAAGATCTAAAATATGATGTGATGAATGAGACTTCTGCGAAGAAGATTTGGGAGATTCTCGAAAGCAAGTATTTGACCAAGAGTGTGGAAAATCGCTTGCATTTGAAGAGGAGACTTTATCGTTTCCAGTTGAAGAAGGGAACCTCCATTAGAGATCACATGAACCACTACACAAAGCTTCTTGCGGATTTGGCGAATGTGGATGTCAAGATTGAAGATGAGGACAAGGCGTTGCTGTTGTTGAGTTCCTTGCCCGACGAGGAATATGAGACCTTCGTTCTTACTCTGATTAATGGGAAGGCATCACTTTCGTATAGTGAGGTCACCGCTGCACTTGTGAATTATCAGCTTCGAAAGAAGGATAAGGAGGCTTCAGTTGAGCCGGTAGCGGAGGCGTTGGTCGCAAGAGGGAAGGGTCCAAACCGAAAGAATTGGAAGTCACAGTCTAGAGTAGGAAAAGATCAGTGTGCTTGGTGCAAGGAGACTGGTCATTGGAAGAAAGACTGCCCAAAGCTCGACGAATGGATGAAGAATAAGCAGAAGGGAAAAGGGAAGCAACCATCATCAGAAGCAAACATCGTATCGGATGGTAATAATTCTGACTCTTCTATTTATTCGCTTTCTATCAGTCCTACAGATAGCTATTCGGAGGAATCTGAATGGATGTTGGATAGTGGTGCGACCTATCATGTGTGCCCTAGAAGGGAATGGTTCTCCAGTTTTGAGAAGCTGGTGGATAGTGGTGTGGTGTACATGGCTGATAACCGTGCATGCCAGATCCTTGGGATAGGAAGAATTCGCATAAAGATGTTTGACGGGACTGTTAGAGAGTTAAACGATGTGAGATATGTTCCTTCTTTGAGGAAGAACTTGATCTCGATTGGGGCTTTGGTTGGAGAGGGTCTGAAGGTTCGTGTTGAGGACATGGTTCTCGAGATTGCGAGAGACTCTCGTATTTTGATGAAGGGCGTCAGGAGAAATAACCTGTATTACTTGACTGGAGGTATAGTGACAGGTGGAGAGCTGGCGACTTCTGTTGATTCGACTAGACTGCGGCATTTGGGGCTTGGCCATTCCAGTATTGATTCCTCGCATAGATTGGAAGAGGGTGCGAAGACCTGCAGTTTGAAGTCCAGTGAACATGTTGATGTGAGCAAGAAGACCGATGTGAAGTGTGGCACCTCTATTCACCGTGCTAAGGGTCGTTCTGGAGGAGTTCACGTGGATGTTTGGGGGCCTTCCAAGGGGGCATCATTGGGAGGTAATAGGCGTTTGGTTTCCTTTGTTGGTGGCTGTTCTAGGCGTGTTTGGGTTGCAACCAAATCCCCATTGGAGAAAGTCCTAGTAGTCTCTAACAGATTGAAGAAGTGTGTAATAGACAGAAGGTGAAGGTACTCCATTCTGGTGGGAGGTACAAGATGGACCTATTTCTGTATTGGAGCCGAGCTCACGGCATTTCGAGACACTTCGTTGGAAAGGAAATCTTGGGGTAACTAGATAGGGTGGCAAATTTGGAGAACCGTGCCTTGCTGGAGGAGGATCGGTGTTTGTTGTCAAGCAATGGTCTGCAAAAGAGTTTCTGGACAGAGGCTTCGACATATTTGGGTCATCCTATTAAAGAATTGTCAACTGCTGTGATTGGAGGTAAAACTCCATTGGAAGATAGGTCTGGTAGTGTCACTTTGTATGAGGCTTCGATGAGGGAGCCGATTGACTCTCAGCAGGTGGAGAGTTTTGGACAGACCTTAGAGGTATCGCAGCGGGTGGAGAGTGATGCTACTCCACATTGGGTAAAGATTACTCCAGATCATTCTGCATTGGTTGGGATTCCAGCTGAGGTGACACAATGTGGGAGTCATTTGGATTCGGATGCAGATGATGAGTTGGATTTTGATTCGAGTGCAGCTGATAGATATAGTTTGGATATAGCCATTGGTTCACCTCAGGTGGAGGTGTTTGAGGTCATTGGAGGTGCTATCAGCCGCAGAGTTGAAGATATTGGAGAAGGGTTGCGAACTCTTCTATTGGATTGAGGTCGTTCACGGCCATTTGGGGAACTACGTTCGGCTTGATTCCTTGGGCAAGAGGATACGTAGGCAGTCTTATGATGCAGTCGGGTTTGGATTATGTTGGGGGTGAGATCGATTTGGTGAGTTGATATCGATATTTGGAGAGTGTTTGCACTCTCATTTGGGTTCTCGACTTGTTATGGATTAAGTCCGTTGTCGTGAATTGTTTCACTTCGTACTGGACACAACAAGTGGGACATTTGGATGCTTTGGTGTCGGCTCAGTTTTGGGAAAACTTCGCCGAGGTGGAGAATGTTGGCGGTTATGCTTGTCCAGCAGATAAGAGGTCAGCGGACAAAAAGGATTCCACATGCCGTGAAGAGATCGAATCCAGCGGGACAAAAGAATTCCACATGCGAAGACGTGTTTGAGCCCTATAAATGCCTTTCGCTAGGTTTTCTGTGGTAGTGTGGCAAAGGAGCAGCGGGCAAAGGCTTTGGATAAAAATCGCAGGGGGTGCAAACAGAGGGAAAAATCAATGAGCCTTTTACTGCTGCAGAGTGCAGGGGAAAAGCAAGTGCAGGGTTAATTTGTTGCGCGCTGTCTCTTGGATTTTCGTGCAGGCTTGGAAGAGTAAAAGCAGAAGAAAACAGTGGGTTTTCAAGTGGCTTTGTGAGAGGTTGAGAGATTATTTTTTGGTTTAGATTTGAGAGATTGTAAATCCTATTGTATTCTCTTCCCTCTATTAGTAGATCCCCTTCCTTGCCCCGTGGACGTAGGCAGTTTGCCGAACCACGTAAAATTAATTGTTTGAGTTTGTGGCCATTGTAATAGTTATTAGGATCCCTCGACAGGTCAGTCCTAGAACTGATGAGAGGAAGAGCCGATATCTCACTTGGTTGAGATATCCGCTTCAGATTCTTATCTCCTTGGTGAGACGGGAATTCTTATATCGATCTTTCTCTCTTATTGTGTACCAGAAACTCTGCCGAAATTTCCGCTGCGCACAACAGAAAAAGTCTTGGAAGGGGAAGCACGTTTTCTTTGGGGGCTAGAAGCATTTTTCCCTTTTTTTAACCCTCCGAATCTTAAGAAGAGTGGTTTTCTAGCATCAAGCATGATGGAGAAGAGGCTTTGATTAATAGATTTTTAGTTGGATAGTGTAGCAAACAATGCACCAAAATATATATGAACTTGCCTTTTTTTTTTAAATTGTTCAGTTGGTGTAGGTTCTAAACTAATCTAATCCATATAGGGCATAATTAAATGGGAGAGATTCGTCCCGTAATTTGAATATTGATCATGTATATTGTTTGAGCGTCATGCTAATTATGTTAAGTTGGGGACGTGTGTGTAGGAGGAATCTTTCAAGCAACTCATGCCAAGAGCAGCCTATGGGATTGGGCGGGGGGGGGGGGGGGGGGCGGGGGGGGGGGAGGGAGGGGGGGGGGGGGAGGGGGGGGGGGGCGGGGTGGGGGAGGGGGGGGGGGAGGCTGGGCGGGGGGGGGGGGGGGGGGGGTGGCGCAGGGGACTTTAAAATTAATTCAAATTTCGTTGTTTTAGGAGGTTGGGTTATTAATGTAAAAAATACGAAAAGAAATTAAGTAAACTAAGATATATGCTAAATATTTGCTAAGAGGAGCTTGACGAAAAGATTTCCCTGTGCCGCCACT